TTTCTCCGGGGGGGCTCCCAGATTGCAGTAGGCCGTTTATCGTGCTCTCGTCGACGATATGCCCGACCCAAAGGAGAAAAAGGAATCCACGTCGTGGCCCGTCCCATAGCGCCGCAAAATGGCGACCGGGAGAGGAAAGGGATACACGGTGTACACGGGGCCGTGTACAGGGGTATGCTTTCGAGAAAGAGCGAGAGAGAGAGAGAGAGAGAGAGAGAGAGAGAGGGGGGGGGGGGGGGAGAAAAATGTAACGACCGTGTGTGGGTCGCATTGTGGGTCACTCGCCTACGTTCCCGTCCCTGGAGCGATGCTAATGTCCCCTGAGAAGATGGTCTCCACGCTGAAATATGCCCCCTCGAATCACTATGATCTCCAGTCGAGCCCGTGTCACTGGGACACGGGAAAGAGCGAGAAAGAACCTCATCAAACTCAAAGCCGGGGTTTTATTTAAAAAAAAATAAAATTGTTAACGTCTTTTTCCCCCGTCGAAGATCCAGATTTCCACTTCCACGAGAATTCTGAATCGCCTCGTCTAGTTTGGACGTCGTAAAACGCGACGACCATTCTGCTCCGTAATGTGCACTATAAAACGGGATGCTGGGCTAGGGACTTTATTCCGTTCGTAATGACGCTCTTCGAGGTGTACGGAAGGATCCAGGGGGGCGTCGAATCATGGTTGGATTTTAGTGACACGAGGGGGAAGGATTTTACGTCTAGCCAAGAAGAATGGTTGTTAAGGGTTTTATTAAAAATACCTGACATTCCTCGGACGTATTTTGGGTTTTAAGAGGCGATTTGTGGCATTATGAGATTCTTCTCGCATTTTTAATGTTGGCTCTTCTTGGCCATTTCTAGATAAAATCTGTCTCGGTTCTAAAGAATGCTGGAAATGGAGGTTTAATTCTACAAGGAATCGATACTATTGATAGAATTTTTCTACATGACGGTTTGACCATCTTTCAACGTTTTGAGTGCCGTGCACTTTTATTGGATGAATTCACCCCACTCGTAATGTTGGTCCATGATGCCAGAAGAATCGATTGAATGTCTGGACCCGATACGGTCCCAATGGGATGCTGCGCAGGGGGATTTGGATTTAAAGTCCAAAAAGAATGACCCTCGTCTATAAAATAACTTGCTTTGCTTCGTATGTAGCAACTATATGGCGATTTAACGTTTATGGTCCTCATATTTTCGAGTTTACGAGAAAATCCAGAGATTCGCCGGGCGATTTTGCCCCAATTGTACCAAACCTACAGTGGCGGGATATCTTCTCGGATGCAGTGGGCTGTATGCAAATTTAATTTCCTGGGGTAATATCCGCTATAGAAAGCAGAGTCTAGGGAAATCTGTAGATCAACATCTGCATATGTTGCGTATTCTGACTTCTGGCTAGATTTACACCGTGCTACTCCGCTGCGTTTCGTCGTCCAACGCCATTCTATTCCCGTTTCGGTCAGACAAATAGATCAGTTTATTATTAGCATGCTTCTACCCGTATGCAGAGTTTAACCAGGATGGAGGGAATTGAAATGATACTGGAGAAACAATTGCAACCGTAAGAGCACTTGCATGCAAGTGCAGAGATAACGACTCTGGATATTCATTGTTACTCTCTCAAAATATGAAATATTCAATGGAATTTAAGTAGTCATACTTTAGCAACACCACTAGAAGCAATAAACATTTTTAATTTTGCCATTCCATTTATGATCATTACATGTCAATACATAAAAGTGGTCAAAATGTGAAAAATAATAGCAACTCTTCTTTACATCATTTATCACTAGTTACTATCGATGCTACGTAACAGTAATAAATGGTAATTAAAAATAGCAAGATGATTTTTACATTAAAACACGTGTAACGGTAATGTGAATTTTCCGTGTATGAATGTAGCAATTACTTATGACCCGTTTTCCACGACTCGGGCCTCGGAACATTCACTGACAAAATCGGTAGATCTAGCTTTGAAGATGGCTTTAAGAAGCATTTCTGGGCACGACCAGTAATAAATCAATAGCAAACATCGACAAGAATCTTTCGATTAAAATTCCTCCATTACCGCGAGTCCGAAAAATGCCCTCGCGTGCCGCATCGTTTACACTAGAAAGTGCCGAACCGCGATTATTCCCACCACGCCATTTTCCCTGGTTTCCCTGCACTTCGGTAACCCACATTTCACCCGCAACAGAATACATCTCGGAACGAGCGTTACACAATTTTCTCTGAAATCAAAAGCGCTGAGTGTCTCAGCTACGCCATTCATATGTCCGTGAATAGCGTACGTCGAGTTGGCATCTTGGAATGACTTTTCATTCAGTGTTGAAACACTGGAAACGTCGGTTTCTTGAAAGAGAAACTCATCGTGAATGTGTTTCAAATCGAATACGTAAAAAATTAAGAAAAATGAAATGCCTTGGTACATCATGGACTTAGAGTTTCTTAAAAATATTTTGAGATAAGCGAGGAAAGCGTACAACTACTTCGTACTCGGTATTCAGGTATTAAGTACGTTATAATGATACAGGACCTGGGGTGTTTTTAAATTACGCGAATTTCTAGCCTAATTATATAGCTGGTTGTATCGTACTTTGGTAGTTTTCGTTTTGCGGCTTGTACGGTATGCCGGGATTTGTACGAAACCTATCGGCGGCCTAGATCCTCCGTTCAGCAAGGTAATAAATAATCGTATCAAAAACAAACAAAGCATCTATCTAGCTACACCCTAGAGGACAAGGAACCGGGTGAGGGAGAGGAGAGCAGATAAGGATAACGGGCCATCCGCAGCTTCTCGGATAACTTGCAGTCCTACGCGAGGCCCTCGTGAATGATTGGACGAGTCCGATTGCGCGTGGTCGGCTCCAACGGAATCAACCAATAATACTAACGACTATTCCATTTCAAGAGAAAATATAAATAACTGCCCGCCTAAGCAGCAGGCACATGACTTCAAAATAATATTACAAGATTCGAGGCACCATTTGAATTCAAAACGTCATTTTTCATCTAAGATTTCAATGTTTTATATTCACGTTTACAACATGGCTCTACATTTATTTGAATTTCATTTTAGAGAAGAAGATTTCGGATTCATGAAACTTCCTTGTCTCATATCGACTTATAACATGAACTCGTAATCCCGCAGGTATTGGGCGTAAAAAGATATTTGATAGTATCCCTAAAACTTTTACTCGATTGCCGCAAATATCGTGGCAAATAGATGACGCCAAAACATGAAGTAATCAGGTAGACTTAATAAAAATATTTCATTAATTGATTAAAACATTTGTCGCGATTGAACTTCACACTTCGACCCAAACACTTCGATCGAAGCCGTACGAGAGTGGAGAAGTGAGCCAAAATTCCGTTAACCCGCTCGAAACATTTTCTGAGACAAGTCAAATGCAGTCAATCGAGAGCGATTTCGTTCAATGAACGAAGTTCTTTTTTTCCGTGCGGGTCGTCTCGCCGTCCCACGTCCCAGTTCCGATAAGACACGTCCACCTGGAAAACCGTGGCCGGCTGCGCCTGAAATCGGGATACCGAGTCGGAAGAACGAAAGAGAGGAAGCTAGATAAGGATAACGGTCCATCGGAGGCTTCTCGGATAACCCGCAGTCCTACGCGAGGCCCTCGTGAACGATTGGCCGAGTCCGGTGGCGCGGGGCCGGCTCCAGGGGAATGGGGCCCAGCTGACCAGCACGCGGACTAGGTGGACTAGTTCGCGGACTGGTTCCACTCGCCTCCGTGGCACCCGAGGCTGATTATCTCCTAACTGTCAGGCCTTGGCGTTGGTAAACGTCCGCCGTAATTACACGGCGAGTGGTGCGCCTTCCCGGAGCCAGAAGGGCCCGCCGATGTCGGCCAGGAGCGTACCACGTGCCCCTCGAACGGGCCGTGGCCCGAGATAGAAGATGGAACCATCTGGCGTTCCCGCCCCCGCGCCCCCGGGGGCAGGGGCCAAAGCCTGCTCTCTTTGAAAATTCACCCCAGCCAAGCCTGACCTCCTCGGATAGCGTTCTCTTTCGCTCCTCGTCGCTTTGGGTGCGGGAAAAGTGCTCGCGTGTGCCGTCCCTGCACATGGCGACTTCTATTCTCACACGAGATACATCCAGCGGATGCATTTTCTGGAAGCTTGTGCACTTACTCTTGTCCAAGTGAAACTTCTAACCCCGCGGTAGTGTTTTAGGTTACCGAAGATGCTACTACAGGTTTTCCTGTTTATGACTTGGCGCTTTGTTTTCAAACATGCTTGTTTTTCTTTCGTGTTCGTGTATTTGAGAAGGGAAACAGTCGTTTATTAATTTTTTTATACGGTCAATTGATATTTACAATCTCGGTGTGTTGGCATTATGTCTAAAACAGACGGTCCCAAACGTGTAAGAGCGAAAAATAATGAAGAATAATTCATGACAATTCTATTAATTGAGGAATTTCACCTCTAAAGCGCGGGACCACGCGTCCGTTTTTTTACGATCGATTGTATTATATCCTGAATTTTACCGTTCTCTGGACAAGTCTGTAACGCTTTAACCTTGCGTCGATGGAAAGTTGACCGATGAGTGGGTGTTAGAAGAGCGTTAATTAAGTATCGGGGAGTACCCTGGAGAGAAACGTGTTCGGAAGGTCCTTTTATGCGGCCCGATCGAGGCGACTCCTGAAGATGACCCCCTGAAAATGAAGGTGGCAATTCTCGTCGATATTAGGATAAAGGAAGAAAATTTACATGGAAAGTTTAATTCCGTTCTTGGAGGATGCTTCCAAGTCGTCTCGCCACTTTTTGGACGCCCCGGAACGCGAAAGGGCCTCCGGCCCACGTCCGGAGGGTCCTTTTACAAGGACTTGACAGACGTCCTTTTACAAAGCTCTAGATGAAGGTGGCCAGGGTCTTTTGGGTTACGAAAGTCGTTACGCGGGAGAGGGCCTCGCCTCTCTCGAAAGGGACACGTTCGATGGGCTGATTTACAACTAAGACTTTTCCTTTTTTTTCTGTTCCAGGCCCACGTGGTGTCAGCCTTCGAGCAGTCCCTTTCCAACATGACCCAAAGGTTGCAGCAACTCACGGCCACCGCCGAGAAGAAGGTGAGACCTTTCGCCCTTTGGCTCTGTCACTGCTGCGAGCCTGTACTCAACTCGTGTCGTTACATACTTGTACCCTGTACACACCTGTACATCACCTCTTCCTAGGAGCAACGTCCTCCTTGTCCCTGCGATTCAACTACCGGTGCAATTAACTCGAGTTCGGACGGAACGACGTGCAGGCTCTTCATTGGACGTCATGGGGCACAAAGGAAAATTCTGCAGTCCTAGAAATAATTTGTTCTGCCTCGTTAAGCGATTTTTATTGCCGTTACTCTTGGTGGGAATACGAAAAGGACCTATATTAGATGTTAAGAGGTAATGGGATATAATCAAGCCAGTCCACGCGCTGCTATCCATTGACTGTAGTCTCAAACTTTGTGAAAATTCTGTAGAGTTCTGTAGGTTCGTTAGGTACCAGTAGACGCAGAAAAATTATTCACGATCGTAATACAAGAATCTACTTGCCTCGGACAATGTACAAAGTCTAAAAATTGGCTAGCAAATGGTTCCAGAAACGTTTTTGCTGTATGGACAAGCATTTATTAGCAGTTATATAATTCATTGAGATTGCACAAATTATATTCATGTTTGCGATATTCTCAGTGTCGTCCTTTGCTAAGTACGCAGATGTCTTTTTTCCGTGAAAAATACATTCGTTCGGTTCATCGGCCGAATCTCTGAAAAAGTAGATACGTCGATCCTTTGAGTACAGATTAAGGTTAAGCAGCTAAGGTGACGCGCTTTTTCTCTTATAATAACAAGAGACACAGTACAAAAGTGTAAGATCAGCGAGTGACACCTCGTAAAGCTTTACTCGCAAGCCTCGGCATGCTTTTGTCGTAAGTCTTCCTGGCCCTCTCGTAAATCGCAAGAGAGGAAGAGTCTCTCTGAAAGGGATAAAAAAGAAATGAAGGGAGAGCTCTCAAAAATGTTTCGCGCCCGGTGCGCGAGCTGGTTGACAGTCGAACCTCAAAATTCCAAGAGCAAAACTCGAACATCGCCGCCAGGAACCCGCGAGCAAGAAAAAAAAATCAGAAAAGGAAAACACCATGATTCGATACGAGAGCAGTAATTTTTAAAGGGGGCACCTCCGGGTCAGGATAAGCCGAAGTTCCATAAAAATGACGAGCCTTCTGAGTCCTTAATGTCGACCCCGGAGTCAAACCACCACTCGAAACCCATCTTCAATGAAATCATCGTGATATGCTCTAATCAGAAATGAACAGAAATAACTTGGTAAGGAACGACAAAATGGACCTCGCCGAGAAGGGAGACAAAAATAGGGAAACGAAAAATGCGATCAACTTGGACACTTCAGGGACCAGGGAAAGTGCTGATAGTAGCCGGGATCGGAGACTTCCTCGACCCGGAGATTCAGCTAGATCGAAATTAGCTCAAATATTAGGCATAGGGAAGATCATACCAGATCCGAACTTTGCGATGGTCATCCCCATCCCTTCGGAAGATGCGAGGGTGCTAGGATTGAAGATCCCCGAAGAACATCCTTCTAAAAGGATACCCAACTCCTCGGGAAGACCTCCATCTTGCTCTTCTAAATCCTCTGCCAGTTCCAACCAGCCTAAGGGTGAGAAAAGCCAGGAAGTTAAAGGGGCTTTTAGTCCTGTGTCCGGAAGCGCGTTGCAACGTTCAAAACTTCAGAGCTTCAAGGAAGGGAGACCTATCGAGAGCCCTAAGGGCTTTCAAGCGAAGCTGGAACGAGGATTAAGAAATATCTCCAACAGGACTGGAAGTTTAACAAGGAAGACCAAAATTGAAGGTAAAAAGAACCTTTTCCCTTGGTTGCTCACCAGCGCTGGAGGTGCTCCTAGGCCCACGAGTTGCAAAGAAGAAAAACCCGTGGAGAGCCAGGAAGTTCCCGAGGTCCTTGATCAGGACACTGCGGATAGATCCACTGAACCCGACTCCAAGTCTATGAGACACTTGTTCAGTATGGCCGATTCCTGGAGCAGCGATTCCGTGGTCAGCCATTCGGACAACTGCAGCTGCTGTCATGGCACTGAAAAGTGTCCTCTTCATGGAAAGATTAACCTGGAAAGTGAAAACGATTGACAATAAATAAGAAGAGGACAATCGATAAGGAGTTCTTATACAAAAAGGCACGATGTAAATGAGGCCAAGGTGCGCTCCCACGGAGGACTTATTTTTGACTTGTTCTGCGCCTTCCAAAACACCGCCGTATTGCAAAATATTAAAAGTACCATTGGTTAATAAAACATGGCTACTTTTTGGTAGTATACTATGGCTGACCTGTCAAAAGGGCTGCGCCGGAACACACGTAGTCTCCTTCACATCATGACAAGAAAGTATCTTAATTTTCTAAATTATCAATGACGAAGAACGATAAAAGTTACACGGATGTAACTCCTTAATAATATTCCCCCTTAACGTTTACGGCTTTTGGAACACCTGGTCTTCTCCAAGTAACATGGAACCCACATAGTACAACGGAACGACTCCACCATCCGAAGACCAAAAATTCCCCATGACGTAGAACTGGATTGAAAATTATGTTGACATACAAAGCTTCCTCGTAACGTGTCTGAAATTATGAGAAAAAATTAATAAAAAGAGTAAGACATCGAGGATTTGATTTCTGTTGTTTGCAACTTCTGAGAACGTCATCTTTGGGCGAGAAGAAACGTTCCGGAATAGATAATCAGCTCTTTCGTTTCAAGAGTATAACTTTCCCATCGCAGGGACTCCCAAGAGCACCTACTGCATCAACTGCACCTGCCACCGCATGAGCCAGTCCTGCCCATAAAGGAGCGACTAGCTAGGGACGGTATACCTCTTAGGGGAGCCATTGCTTCTCTACCTTACCTACGACCATACTACTCACACAATAAAAACCCTCAGAACTGAATAGACGCTGCAATTATACACTTAGAGCGAAATACATTATTACCGGTGAGCACCACGGCCTGGCTTTCTTGCGACACCTCGAAAGTCCCACAACTCGATCGCACCACCGTAACAAAAGGGACAAATTTGCGAGGAAATCGCCAGGAATTTTTCCTGATGTTTTCACTAAATCGTGCGGCTACCGTTGAAGACATTAAAGCAAAAGAAAATTCACGCGATTAAATTCTGCACGCCGGGGCACTCGGTGCACTCTTGCAACCTGTTGCACCTGCTTAGAGGTGCACACCCGAAGGGCGTTGAACCTAAGAATTCATTAATTCTCCATTTCTTTATGCTCGAGTTTACACCTTGACCGTTGCCGGGAATCGGGGAGTCGAATTAAAAGCCGGATGATTCTATTTCTTGGCGTGTTTTCAGTACACTTTCGTCCAATTAGTCGACAGGGACGGAACACGTTGCCAAGCTTGGATCGTAGACTAAGACGAAGTCTTCTACATTGAAGTTAATGTTAATTTAGGTGGATACACCATACTCTGTTAGGTAGCTTCGCACATGCCATGCAAGGCGTGGACTGTTTAAACTAAAAAGTACGTTTTCTCCGTCTGAATAATTTTCTGGTCGTCTAATATTCGTCCAAGCTGTTTCCTTATTACTGGAATGAAGTAAACTCGAATTACATCGGCATTTTACATAACATCATTTGAATCACGCGCATCCTCTCCAATAGAATCTGAATATTAAATTGATATTCCGGCAATTCACCTCGTCGAGCACATTGCACGGTAGTAAGGAAAAAACGGTCCCGACAGGAAGCCCACCTCTGGAAGCAGTCACCAGAAAAAGAGGCATCCATATTCCGCGTAACCGTAACTCGCCGCTGTTCTAATTAAGCCCGATGCCCGGGAATAATTATGGTCGATTATTGCGCGTTTCCCTGGATATTGAAAAACTTGGACAACCTAGAGATTTACACGTGCTCGTGCTATTCGTGTTCGCAGGATTCCGAGCTGCAGGAGCTGAGGGATACGATCGAGAGGCTGAGGAAACAGAGCGCCGAAGCTGGCCTGAACAACGGACCGGCGAACGGTCGCAGGCACACCCTGGGCGATTCCGAGGGCACCACCGGATGCACCGGGAACAGCAATCATCACCAGGGCTCTTCGATGGCGAGGCAATTGTCAGCCGACAGCGTGACTTCCTTGAATTCCCTCAGCAGCGCCTGTTCCGCCAGCAGCCACCACAAGAAGAAGGGTTGGCTGAGGAGTTCCTTCTCTAAGGCGTTCTCCAGGTCCAGGAAGAACAGACACGGATCGGTCTCCGATGCTGAGGACTGCAAGGACGGCCCGGGTGATCTCAGTGCGCCAAATAGCCCCAGGTTACCCACTGCAGTCAAGCACGAGTCCGCCCAAGGCCAGGGTCATGGCCAGCAGGGGTCAGGGTCCAGGACCAATGGTCAAAAGTCGCCGGAACACGAGAACAACCTCAGCGGTAGCAAGAGCAGCTCGGCCCTCTACAAGAAGGAGGACGAAGACGTTGACGAGCTGAAGAAGCAGCTCAGGGAGAAGGACATGGTACTCACGGATATCCGGCTCGAGGCCCTGTCCTCTGCTCATCAGCTGGAGTCGCTTAAGGACACGGTCATCAAAATGAGGGTGGGTTTTACTTGCGCTTGCGGAGGCGGTGGAACGACTATGGAATACTAGAGTTGGGAGTTATTTGATAAAACAATTAAAATACAGGTGTTACAAAATAGCATTTTTCTAATTCCAACGAAGATATTTGTAACAAGTATCTACGTGACACTTTTCTCCAAACTGGATGTACCGAATCATTTGACACTTTATCTCGTAAATATGTAAGCCCTAAGGAAGATCCCGACACTCGTGAAATTGTATTGTCTTTAAAACTTGTTTATACACATTTCAATTTCTTTATAAAAAATTTAATTTCAGTCAGGACCTTCAGTAGAGCTTTCATATTCACGTGGTAAGATTTCAAACGACTCGGTGCACCTAGTTCGACGGAAAGCTTTATAAACGACTGATCCCTCGGATATACAATTTTCGGACCACCTTAAGATTGAATTTCTGTTGAATTCACAGTAAAATGTAATATTTTCTTTCCAGAACGAAATGCTGAACCTGAAGCAAAATAACGAGCGTCTGCAGCGTCTGGTGACCTCGAAGTCGCTGACGTCCTCTCAATCGTCGCTGCCCAGCGACCCGGAGCGCCGTTTCAGCATGACGGAAGTGGCCTCGAGCGTGGCAGCCCTCTCCAACGGGGACAACGCTTCGACGGCGGACCAGTTGGAGGACTTGAACGTCCCCGAGCACCCCGTGGTACCTCCCAGTACGACGACCTCGTCGGAGCCCCCTCTGGAACAGGATACGGACGGAAAGCGTATCAACGTGGCCATCTATCTGGGCGGCGAGAACACCTTCAACTACAACGCGCCGTTCAACAGCAACAACGAGGGAGGCAGCGAGCCGGCTCACTGCATCATCGCCAACGTCTGCATATCCAACAAGACCTCGTGGGACGCCTTGGACTCGACCGTAAGAAGGTGTTTCAAGGACTACGTGTCCAGGGTGGACCCTGTAACGAATCTGGGATTAGGAGTCGAATGCGTGGCCGCCTATTACCTCGGCGAGGCCTCTAGGTGCATCACGGACTCTCAGCATCCGGAGCTTCTGCCTTGCGGCTACCTCGTGGGTCACGTGAAGACGATCTATCTGGTTCTGTCCGGGTACTCCTGGCTGGCCGTTGATACCTTAATTCCCAGGTCGATCGTCCAGCGACTGGTCTCCCTGCTGACCGAGCACAGAAGAGTCATTCTTTGTGGTCCCAGCGGTACCGGGAAAAGCTACCTCGCCGGCAAGTTGGCGCATGCCCTGGTGGATACCGACTCCGACATCAAGGATGCCGCCGCCGTGGCGACGTTTAATGTCGATCACAAGTCCAGCAAGGAGCTGAGGCAATACCTGGCGCACATTGCCGAGAGGTGTGACTCGAATGCTGCCGATGAACTCCCCAGAGTGATTATCTTGGAGAATCTCCAACATGCGGCTTCGCTTGGGGAGTTGTTCAGCGGTCTTCTGGGCACCAGGCATTCTTCCTGTCCAGCCATCATTGGTACCATGAGCCAGGCTACCTGCAGTACCACCAATCTGCAATTACATCATAATTTCAGGTGAGTCGGTTGCTTTGTATTTTTTTCTTCCCGATTACAATTAAAATTTAGTAACACGCTTTGAGCGTTTTGTTAATTTATATGATTTATTGTTTAGTTACGAACAACAGAGTGAAAATGATATGCAGTCAATTAGTGATTCAAGGCATAGTTTGGTAGAAATCTCGGAGATTCGAGCATTAATTGAATGTGACGAACTTTGGAGAGTATTCTGTACGTATTTATTTCTGATTTCTACAGATGGGTTCTCTGCGCCAACCATATGGAGCCTGTAAAGGGATTCCTGGGTCGGTATTTACGGCGCAAACTTCTCGAACACGAGCTCCGGGAATCCGGAGGTTCGAGGAACGCGGAAATGGCGGCTGTCGTAGAGTGGCTTCCTCGGGTTTGGCTCCATCTCAACAAGTTTTTAGAGACGCACAGTAGCTCGGATGTAACATTAGGTGAGTGCCGCTCAATTTATAGGTTCCAGTTTCCAACGAATGCCTGTCTTCTGAATTCCTCTCGGTACCAGCACGCATTCTTTCCCTTACACGGAAGTATAATAAATTCAAGGCTAATCAATTGTGTAATTCTTCGATCAAATAGTCTCTTTTTATTACCATTGAGCGAGACATCGAGTTCTGAGTCTTCCAATTCCAGTCTCAGTCATTATGATATCGATGTACCACGAACTATTGCTCTATCCAGGTCCTCGGCTGTTTCTGCCGTGCCCGATGGAAGTTGCGGGCTCCCAGGTCTGGTTCACGGATCTGTGGAACTACTCCGTGATCCCATACCTGGTGGAGGCCGTCAGAGAAGGCTTGACCCTCTACGGAAGACGCGTGGCTGGAAACGGGAACAGCGACGCGGCGTGGGAGGATCCAGCCCAGTTCATCACCTCGAGCTATCCTTGGATCTCGACGCACGCCGTCCACGGAGGAAGTGACGCCCTTCTTCGTTTGCGGCCCGAAGACGTGGGCTACGACGTCGTCAGTTCTGGACACGCATCCGGCGTCGGCAATTCCAGCGTCAAGAGCCTGGGCAGCACTCACAGCGACAACGAGGGCGATCCTCTGGTGGGTACTCGTGGGTTATCTTTTTTTCCGGAGACTGTTAAAGAGAGCGCTAATTCGTCCATCCTCATAATTGCAGCTCAACATGCTGATGAGGCTACAGGAAGCAGCCAATTACTCGAGTCCGCACAGCAACGACAGCGATTCGGTCACATCTCTCGACTCCTCGCACACGAGGCACTCCGAGGACCTTAGCTCCTCGACGTCCTCCTCAAAGGGCGTCGAGTCCGCCCTTTAGAACATCCCGTCCCTGACGGCGATTCCAGCATGAATTCCTGACGGCGGGATCGAAGAGGACGTCTTTTTGACCTTTCTTCCGTTCGAAGAATCGTAGGGACAGAGGATCTTGGATTCGCACGAGAATCCGACTGGCCAGCCAGATTTCAGGTCCTGGTTACGATAGGCTTTGGTTTCCAGTTTTCATCCCTGGTTTCCGTAGCTCGGCCGTCTCGTAATGAAACACAGTTACTGCAGTATTCGTAGCTCTTGTTGCGTTCAGACGCCAGCACGTCTCGTGGACTACGAAACGGTTTTTGGTAGCTCTCCAGGGGACAGTTTCTTTGATAGTACAATGTAAATTCATTCCAAGATCTCCCGAGGATGGACATGCTTTAAATCGGCAATTAAATTAGCTTCCGTTCCAGTTACAATGGCGATTTCTTCCGAGTACGGTGTCCGTTGCAAGGGGGGAGAGCTCAGCCTCCTTTTATTTTTTTTCCGCCTTCCGGGAGAAGGAAAGAAATTCTTACGGTTTCGTCCCATAATTACGGCGTTCTAACAAATTTAAACGCGTTGCCGTAGTTAATTTTACAATAGCTGAATGTTAAGTAGATTTTAGTTGCTGTGCTTTGGCACGGGACAACCAAGTTCCGTGGAAGCACGTGAGACGGAACGTGGATGACTTTGTAGCCCAGCCAGGGGGATACCAATCCATCCTTGATCTAAACTCGTAAACGTTCACCGATCGATCGATCCTTCTCTTTTTGTTTTATCTGCGATTTTAAGAGAGGAGCAATATAGCGTGGACCTTGAGTAATAGTCAGCTAGATAGGCCTAGACCTTAGCTCCTGAAAATACGCTTGCACAAGAACGACGTCGATGTCCGGTTGCAGTCTAAGAAGTTATCACTTTAGAGGCGGCCTATCAACGTTTCCGCAAGCGCCTGGCATTTCGGTGTGATATCGTAATTAATTTAACGCGTAGCAAAACACGGAGCGAGCCATTATTAAGTGTTTCTCGATAAGCGTAATCACTATGCGATGCAATAAGCTGACCTGCCGTATCGGCCGTACGATTATATTTTTTAGTTAAAGGACGCGTTTTTTTTCCCCGCGAATCCCGTGTCGGTTCTTTCTAAACGAAATGCACACTCGCCAAGGGATCTGTAAGGATCGATCCGATGATCGTAACGGTGCATACAGTATTATAGAAGGTATAAGAGCCAGCTTCAAGCCGAGCGCTGCTAGGGTGTCTTTCGATGTTAATTAACGTTGTATTTTCGAGAAGGAAGTTCTTCGTAGATGTAGCTCATAATCGAAATTGATTCTTCGGTCCGCCAAGGCTTGGATCAGTATTGCCACTGATCTCGGTAACGAGAAACGGTTCCGATACGTCGGCTCCTCTTTCAGACCCTGATGTACCTCTAGATCTCGATAGAGTTGATACCGAGAATACTAGCAGCGCCCTTCGAAGTGAGAACTGGCCACGTGCAAATATAGTCTGTTTATACATAACTTCCTACAAAGTTCTATTTAATTAAAGAATGTTGATACGATAATATATACCTAACGACGCTGCCGCTGAGTTTTATATATAATATATATTACGAATAATGCCGAATAAGAGGTCGATGATTAGACTAAGATACGTGAGTAACTCTGGTCATATATATTGTTGTAAATAAATATGCGAGAGATGCAAGCTCGGTATTGGGGCAACGCGACGTGGTACGCGGAGTCTCGTCGAATTTGAACGTCAATAGAGTTGTTTGTAAAGAATGAGATGCATTTTAAGCCGACTTTTTTCATTAACGCTAAAATTGGCGTTCACCCTTAGTTGCCGATTATATAAACGAACGCTGACGGATTATACATATTGTACTTCGCATTATCGAATCGAGGTCCGTCAACGTCCTCGATTTCTTTTTTCTGATGTGCGCGAAGCAGATATCCTTGATACGACGTGTGCATACAATGTAATCGTTATACAGTCGCATTTACAGGTTTTTTACGTTTATACCGTATTTATACGCTGTATGGCGCCACATCCGAACTTTATCCAAATAACGATAGTTATTGTGTCATAAATAAAACCATTTAAACATTATGGATTATCCGTTGACTTGTCCCGAGGAGTTTATTTTTAGATTCGTTAATGGTTCTTTTTTTTTTCTTTGCATTCGGAGAAAAGTAATAAAGAACATGCCAGAGTTGTGCGCTTTATTCGGTAGAACTTAATTGTTACTGACATTTATGTAATACAGTTTCTCGATGAAGGCAATAATCTTATTAATATAATTACGTATCTACTGTAGGGTGCCGAAAATTCATACTGGTAAAAAGTCACTTAACGCGGTTATAGTATTTTGTACGGCATAAAGTATCTTCCTTCGTTAACCCCATTATCGATTTTAGCTGCCAAACGTTAAATTGACTAGTAATAGGAAATTAACAATTTGATAAAAAAATTCTATAAAACACTGGTAAAGTACCATACTTAGATTGTATGGCATAATATCGCAATCATGAGTAATTAACGATCGCAGTCCTTCGGCTTTAGACAAAACTAAACCGATCACAATTACATTTCTTACATGATTCAATAAATTATAGTAACATTCATGTTTGCCGCACGCAAAAAAGCCACCTCGCTAATAATGAAAGATCAAAAATTGCGCGGCAAACATGAGCGTTACTTTGCACGCACAAATTATTGTACAATGGTAGCAATTTACTCCATTAGAATCTCCAGAAAATTGTTGTCCCTATATTGACCATTGTTTCTTTTTGCACATTGTTCAGATGCATCATTTACTTTGTATCTCGTCCAAATATTTGTCAATAGTAAAAGAGACAACATTTATTATGTTCATTTTAAGATGAAAACTTAAGCTATCGGTGATCCAGGATCACGTTAGAAGCGTATTTCTTCTCCTTTAGACAATACTCTACAACTGAGTAAATTGTAAGAAGTCTTCTGTCCATTGCGTTGAGATGCGCTTCGGTAATCAGAGGTGCAGCACGTGCAGCTTCAGCTTCATGTGCAAGCAGCCTTTTTAAAGAGGAACTTAAAGAACCTCCACTCAATAATCTTAAGCGATCCCACGTTGACTTGTGTATCCTACGATTAAACAAAAATGACACAATTAGTTACGCACAAAGTATAAAAGAAATTTTAAACCAACGATATGATACTAACATGCAACATTGATACAGTGGCGCGAGTATATCGAAATGGTCAACGTCAGGGTTTCCCAAACTTTTGCCATTGTCGATCAACAAAACAGCCGGATTGTGAAAATTGCTTTGGGTTAGCTCATAGTGATGCCGATCACCGTTGTCCATTAAAAAATCGAACACAGCCGTGTCTACTATATCTAGGAGTTTACTCGACAACTGCGGTGAGTATGTTTTCGATTCCTTTACCTGGAAATATACAAAACTTAATTTACTATCAACTCTACTAGACCTAGCATAAACTAAGTCACTAATAACTAAGTTGTTAGTAAACTTTTTTTCGAAGTTCCGATTAGTTAACAATTTACAATTTACTTGAACAAGGTTCGGTTCATTTAAAATTTGAAGTTAGGCCAATAGAAATTGATAATCAGCATTACGAGTAAACCTTTTCACAAAACTTGCGATCCGTTTCCCAAAGGGCGAGTTTGTGCCGCTTGTAAGTTCTTTGCCAGGGATGACGATGCTTGGTCAGTTTCAGGTAGGAAGGCAGCCAAAGTATGAGAGCACCTTCCAGAATATCGTCATTCCCGCAAACGGGATCCGAGGGCGAACAGTAATGGCATACGCCATATAAACAACTATCGTTGCCTTCCTGATACATAGTTGCAGAGAGCTGCGGCGTTGCTCGCGGTCGCACCTCTTCTCTGAGTTTCACTAAGCACGATTATAAGTATAATTTAATAAAAAAGTCTTACAATGTAAATTGAATTAATGGAAAAAAGGTATTCACTTATACGTATATAAGTATAGTAAGCATATTCACTTATACCTTGACGTACATTTTCTAATAATGACGAGAGGCACTCTTCTTAGAGCAAGTAGCGAAGATAGGTGAAACGCTACGACCTCGGCATTATGCCTGTCCTTTCCATAATAAACGGGTCCCTCAATTATTGCATCTCTAGGGTACCATTGCGGCTTGAACAAGGCCTTTACCCCATGTTCTAAAGTAAGCATAAGCTTTAGTTGCGTACCCAGCGGAGCATTATCTGCCCTTGCTATTTTTGCCGTCCTCAGGGCATCCATAATAGTTCCTAACTCGGGAGCAGCAGCTGGTATTAAATGGTGAGCATCCGGCCACTAAATACATAATTTATATTAAATTTCATCTCGAATTTTTAAAATTAAATTCCTTATGATATGTATTAACGCTATCACTAGATGTGCTGCACTGACAAAGAATTCGTAAATGTCAGCAACAATGTCCACGTTATCGAAGCATTTTGCACAAAGTGAAATTTCATTCGACAGTTGCATAATTTATGATATCGTACCTTATAGAACAATTTTCTTAATTCGAATTCAGTATGCAATGCAAAATAAATTAATCAAAGATATAAAGGAGTATTGATATTGTAGGTATACGCAGAAATTGTGCGAGTCGTAGGATTAAGGTTTAAAAGCATGCAAAACTAATGTTGAATGGAACAATAGGCTGGCAATTTGTCTCGTTTCATACAATGTATTCACATTCAATAATTAATTTTTATAATCCACTTAATATTGGATTAAACAAATGTGACGTTACAGGAAGGGATGTTCAAAGACATAATTCACTCTTACATTATTATTTGGAATACTCCATATATCATCGTTAACATTCAACATAGGCCTCAGCTCAATAAGCAGTCTGTCGAGCAGTATGGTATAACTGGAGTTTTGTTTGAAATATTTTGAAGGTAAAGTGTGCATCTCTGCTTTGATTTTCTCCTCCATGTCTTGTATCACCGTAGTTCGAAAATTCTCCGATTTTCCACTGCCTTTTAAAAGGAGTTGTTCTTTTGTAGTTTTCATGTCCGCAACGGGTGAGTTCTTCGAATATGATTTTTCCGGGGAATCTTCGACGATCATTCGCACAAAGTAGATGTTCACCGTCAACACAAGAATCAAAAGCCCGCCAAGGGCGAAGAGTGCACACCGTCGGCCAATCATCTGCAAGTACGATCGATTACAGCATAATTTTGATTGGTTAAATCGCGCGCCATTACACCTTCCACCAATCAGGACGCATTATCTCCATAGTAAATCTGGCAACACTCACATGTAAACTCAGCGATTGAAGGTTAGCGTACGGATGGATTTAGAACCGAAAGTATGCAGAATGTTAAACAATTGATTTAAGTTACCTCGTAGTAATTGGCCAGTTGTGCAGGGTCATCTGCAGTTCGATAAAGTCATCATACTCCCAAAATTCGTGATTCAATGGCTCCCTTGCTCATTCGCATGGTAGATGCAGACTGCCATCTTTATTGAGTGAGACCAGTAGCGCACTTTTTAATACTCTACACTCGACTATTCAAAGAGGACGTTCGATATAAGTTGAATGTTTTCTTAAAATAGACAAGTTATACTAAACTTCTTTAAATATTACATATACCATTTAATATGACTGTATTGTTTTAAATTTGGTCGTTTAAGTTCACCAAACTTTGATTACATAAATTATATGTCATATTTCAAAACTTTCACCTCATGCAATAATTTTCTTTAGTGAAAAATATTCTTGCAATTTTTGTAGGCCATTTAAAAATATTTATTCTTTCTAATATAGTGTATATACCAGAGATGAGTTGGGAGATTGCTCACGGGCAGGGTCGCGCGATCGCACCGTGTGCTGCCCTCTGATTTCGTACGTTAGCTTTCACCGTTT